GCTGCGTAAAAACACCAAAACACAGCAGGTCATCTTAAGGCAACACGAGGAATGAGCTACAGCTGGACGAACAGAAACTGGGGCAAACAGTGAAACAGCTTTTGAAACTTTGGATCCACTGTGTGGGACTGTTGGGAAACAGAAGATACCTTCTGGGGGCCACGACGAGGGCAGAGAATCGGTGCATGGTGGTAATTACCTCCAGCAACAAACGTTTTTAGCGGAATATAATCCAGACTTGTACTCAGTCTGTCCACTTCCAAAGTGTTTATTGAAACATCAAGTCCTCAAGAACCTCTAGATCACGACTGTGATTGGTGGGGCAATAAGTAAAGCACCCGTTGTAGCTGTAATGCTGGATGAGATCAGATGACAGCAGTGGACAGAGTAGTGTATATAGCTGCCGTATGAATATGAATGGATTAAAAAACTTGCCAAATACTGTGACAGCGCTGTTGTTATGGCCTCGAGGTTAAACAGAGTCCAAGCAGAAGTAAAGGAAAATGTCCCTCCAGCACTTTTCCTGTACTGTTATGCACATGCCTTCAATTGGGTTTTATCTTAAGGGTTTGCAAAAATGTAAGAATGCAACATTTTCTTCTTACACCTTTCCGCCGTGGCTGCGTTCTTTTCTAGATCGCCAAAACAAACACAGCTTGATGAAATACTGTTCGTCAGATCCAACTGTCAAGTGTGGCACCAACCAGGTGCAATTTTTCATCAAGATGAATGTGCACTGTGTTTGAAAAGAAGGATGCTCTTAAAAATCTCCATGAAGATTTTGAAGATACTGGAAAACACAGTGCTGATGGCTTAATTTCCAACATGCCAAACTTTGAATTTAATTTAATAATGTGCTTTCAACTTTTAACAAAATGTTTGCAAATGCAAAATGCTATTTTAATCAGTTGACATGCAGCTTTTTATTTCCAAGGTGGGCCAGTTTATTGTTTGCGTTGTGTGACTGAGGGAGGGCTTTGATCAAATATATGTTAAGACTGTGTAGAAGGCCGGCATGCCAACTGAAGTGAGAGCTTGCACGGTGACATGCACACACTACAAAACATTGCAATGACATTCTGCAAGATGTTTTAAATCCGTTTAAAGATCATGAGAAATATGATTTCTTTTCACCTTCGAACACCTGACAATTCCTCAGCTTTAAGATGACAGTCCCTGATGGAAATTACATTTTCCTCCTTCAAACCGAAGAAAAGGTGCAAGGAAAACTCCCGGCTATTTGAATTAGCTTCCATAGATGTTAAAAGCAAGTTGAACCTGAAAGCCAGGGACAAACTCTATCACTGGTTCATTGAAAATTTCTTCCAAAAGGAGAGAAAGATTTTGTCTTCAAGTGAACGTCATTGGTGAATATATTTTTACTGCTGTTTTTTATTATATGTTGCGTCTCGTTGAACCCGATGATTTGTTACCACAACTTGAATGACTGTGGCTCATAAAGTGAATGCCTCCCCAATTTCCGATGTGTATATAACAAGAACAAGATGATTCCTGAAGATAGAGAAGTAAAATTAAAACTGGCCAGGGATGCGCGCATTTTTAATTAGTCATTTTTGAGGGGGAGGTGCTGCCGATCCCGTTCTAAGAGGCACAATTCACCACTGCTCAGTTGTGTTTCCGACTATAAAATTATTTATATATGTTTTCAACATCATATAATGTATCTTTATAGATAATCATCCCTATTCCTGTTATTTTGCTGGTTGTTGGACTTGTTTTTCTCCAACTTTTTAGTACAAAAGTACTGCATTTGTAAATAGTGTACATAACTCTACCAGTTAATGCTGGGACATAAGCTGACAATGGATGATGACATAAAAATGAATATGTGTCATTTAGCGCACATAACTGCAGCCTGATACAATATTAAGCAGTGGTTTCAATGTGGGACCATTCACCAATCCTTCTCGTTGACCTTGCAATAAGAAAATTCTGTGATGAATCCTCACATGCACACACACACACACAAACGCACACACACCAGAACAGCGTACAATTCCATAGCACTTCAGCTTTCGTGCGGCTATGTGACCTCGTGCGCTGTTGTTACTGTCTTGCATCCGCATAGATCCTTGTCAATGCGGGCCGCCTCGCCCTCTCTCTCTCTCTCTCTCCGACACGGACACGCACACAACCAGCAGTATCAACACCGTCTTTAGACATCAAACGGAACTGATACACAGAACCGATACAGGACTTGTTTACTAGATCAGGAAGAAATTATGTAATTCCCCGTACCCTCGAACGACTTATTCAGAACAAAAAAAACTTCACAACAACGCTTCAGGATTTTCCTTCGTCAGGGGAGCGCATCTCTAGGTCGGTGTCTACCGAAAAGCTTCTAACCACGAACATGGAAACATGATTAAATCAGGAAGAACGGAGTGAGCTACTTGAGATACTACTGAGCTATAAAACCATGACGATAACCAGCACAGACCCACTTTCAAAGCCATTATATTTAACTGCTTGACATTATGGTATGCTTAAGTAATCGTTTGAATAAGGAGTTTACCTTTTGTCCTCCGGTTTTTCAGTTATGTTATGCTTCACTGTGCTTATATTATTGACTCTTTCTCACTCTTACATCCGAACGCTGCCGCAGAGGCTCTCCTCTCTCTCTCGACTCTCTCTGTCCTCTTACGACACGACGGGCCGGTAAATCCCCTCCGGCTCCGTGGCTGTCTGAACCGGTGCGTGCCGTGAGAGCCACCGTGCGAGCATCGGAAAGGAAATGGCGTAAATATAAACAACCTGGCGACCTGCTTGCGTTTCAATCTCTTCTCTCCTCTTTTCTGCTTCTATCTCTGCTGCCAAAAGCTCTTTCTACCAATCTAGAATTGAGTCTTCATTTTCTAACCCCCCAAAAAACTGTTTTCTATCTTCTCCAACCTCCTCGAACCGACTCTACCTTGACTAAAAAGACTAACAAATTGTAGCACTTAAATTGTACTTATAATGGCTCTTATTTATAGCAGTTTCTTGTTTCTTGTTTTTTTGAGTTTGTATTCTTATAGTTGAAACAATTACTACCCCAAACCCTCAATCTCTTTCAAGGACAATACTGCAAAGTATCTGCAGAGCCACATTGCTAGATTGGTCAAAAAATATTACATTCTAATCTCAACATAGATTCTAACCCAAGAGTATACCATCTTAAGTAACTATACATCTCTCAGGCGTGATCTTTGAATTGGCCTATGGACCATTCACATCCCCTTCCAGCTAACAAATCAAAGGAAAACCAAACCCTTTATGTCAGGGCCAGACAACTCTACATAAGAAATGAGGTCCAGATGCCTAAAAAAATAGGTCTTCAAAATAGGTAACGTCTTGAGTAACATCATTTTGCAACTGTTTTTTTCATATGACGTTGGCAGCATTTAAACAGGAACATGAACAAAGGCAAGTGGTCCTACTCTCTAGAACCAACCCTCACGTGCTGCATCCATGGCATGAGGCTCCAGGACAGTGGCCATTGCCACATGCACACAATTGCACAATTGCTTAGGAGCACTGCGCGAACAACAATCTCAGCTCAGTTATTTGTTTATCTTTATTTCCAAAAGAACTAAAATAGGAAAAGAAGAGAGTGTCATCAGAGTTAATTTGGTTTGAGGGTTAGGGTTAGATGGCATTCATTGTTACTGTATTGTATGTTATTGCTGTGCATAATATGTAGCAATGAATTGATCAACATGTGATGTGTTTGAGAAAAATTGTGTTTTTAGGACCCAGTTTTGTAAGTAACTCACAATTTACTAGATAGTATGAGTTAAAAGGAGAGATAGTGATGATCTCTGTTTGGATATGTCCAAATAGTGGACAGTGAGTGGCCTTGTAATGAGGTGATCTTATCACATATGATCTTTGAGGAACAATGTGTTCTCTACAGGAAGACCAAGTTCATTCGCCTTGAAAAAGGCTCATAAATGTGTGCCAATAATACCAATACCAATAATTAATTAAAATACATAAGGATGTATAGGATGCATGTTCCAAGCCTTGGAACATGCATCCTATGGAGAGGGGATTGAGCTCGAATGCACCTCTATTTTCCCAAAGCATGTGTGTGTGTGTGTGTGTGCATGTGTGCCTGTTTGTGAGCGTGTCGCTTCATGAATGTCATAAATTCGTAAAGCCTCCCTCTAATGTTTTGGGCAATTAGCCCCTTTCGACATTTGCGATAGCAGATCAATGATTCAATCAGGTTTACATGTAATCCGTCGCTTCCACTCATGTATTTAATAAGCATTAGTTTAATGAGAGACGCAAACTTCTGTGGCCTCCTGAAGAGACATGTCATTCAATTTCCAATACCTAAAATGACTTACCCGACAAACAAGCAAGATAAGTTATTTTTGCAACTGTATAGTAAACATTGGGGCTTCATTGTAATTATTCTGTAAATCATTGATATATATAACGTCAATTTTTCAATTTATCAAATACCAAACCGCAAACAATGAAGGAGGTCTATTGATACTGGTATGATCCATGATGACTCAATTTGTTTGATATCAGATTGGAATGGAGGACTCCCGAACTGACTGGTGCTTAAGCTGTGACGTAATAATGTACATCAAACTGTTACAGCCCCAGTTCCTCAAGGTGTCCCACAAGGTTCAGTATTCGCCCCCCTCCTCTTCACCCTCAACTTCTTTCCCTTTGGTAATATCAATATCGGCCTTCTTCCATCGTGTAAACATTGACCGTCTACGCCCCTCCCTCTCCTCTTCTTCCCGCTGAAACACTCATTGACGCCTTCTTAACCTCTTGATTGGGCTACTGCAACGGCATTATCTACGGCATATCCATCAAAATCATCAAAGAACTCAGATATATCCAGAATTCATCTGCCTGTGTGCTCCCCAACTCCCGTATCAGAGATCCTTCAAAAGACAGTTCATGGTTGTCCTCATCACATACAAAGCCCTTCACAACCTCGCCCCCTTCACACCTCACGCGTATGCCTTTACCTTGGTAACTGCAGGGTATCCAGCCGTCACATCACCAGAGCAGTAGAGCTTCTCTTCATGGGAAACTTCGACTGCGGAGGCCCATTGGTCAAGGAAACCATTTGGAGTGTAGAGGCCACAGTCCCTGACGCCCGTCTCCTGCTCAAAGTCCTCACACACCCCATCGCCGTCGTAGTAGTAACACAGGCTTGGCTCCTCTGCAGGTAAACAGACAACAGAAAAAGTGTACGTTTAACATGAGTAATGATTTGTTTTTCTATCTTCGTAGTATTCTCTCAGTAAATTAAGGTTTTAGATTAGCTAATATGATAGTTAGATTTTAAACACTTTACCGTTCCCTTCCCTTCTTCATCCTAGTTTTAAAAAAACATGTGTGCCCCCCTGAGCCTCCAGGATACTATTCACTAGGATCTTGATTATTTGTGAAGCTGAGGAGGGGACCAGAAGAGGAAGGGGGGGAGGAAGGGTAGTGATAAAAGGTGCAAGAGAAAAGGAGGAAACAGTCTTTTAACAGACATTCCAGCCGAGTTAAGGTCTGGTGGTGGAAGCTTGTGGACGGGAGGAAAAGGGAGCCGAGTATGGAGGTTGCTTGGGCCTCATTGCTCTCATCCCCCAGCTAAAGCAGTATCAGTCGGTGGGGTTCCAGTTAGGGGGAAAGGCGGCATTCTGTGCCAAGTTGGCCGGGGCCTCCTCCTCGAAATTCCAGCCCTCTTCAGCAAAGCCAAAAGTCAGTTCTGTGCTCTGGCAATGGTGAAACGAGGGGCTACTGAGGGGGCATACAGAATACGCTCCCGCCAATCACTCAGCAGGAGCAGAGGCAAGGAAGAAGTAAAGGAGCGAGGCAGGAGGAAGTTCAAACAGTGGCTCGTAGAAGTTGCAGAAGTAGTAGGTGAAATGAGAGAGAAGGGGGGAAAATGAAGGAAAGAAGAACAACGGGTATTGCTGCATCATTTTAATGTGAACAGGGATAGAATATGCAAATAATGGAAAAGCAGAAAGGTGATTGAGTCCAAACAGAGACCTTTACATTTTGAGGAAGAAAGAGAGCGAGGGGACAGACAAAGATGGATGGAGACGGAAAATAATGGTCTAGCTGCTTTCAAAGTAAATTGCTTGTTTCTTTTTTGTTTTGGGTTTTTTAAGACAGAAATCCAAGTTACACTGACATTATGTCAAAGCAGGATGAATGTTACCTCCCAAAACCTTCACTTTGCTGTATTTTGCCTTGACTTTATGCTTTATCTGCACCTGTGTTTGCTGTGGCTCGGAGCGCTTTTGAGAAATAACCACTCGGATTGTTATGCAGGCGGGTTCATGGGAAAACAACTGTGGATTTTGTCCATTGCGGATATAATTCAACTCAATTGTGTGAATAGTTTATTAAAGCTAATCCAGGCCGTAACACACTGGCCTTGTTGTACACTATACGTTTCCACCCAATTCCCTTTTTCACTAGCCAACACACTGACAAGCAGGCAGGAACTCCCTCACACAGAGAGAGAGAGAGTCCCATCAATTATAGTGTCAGATTTCTGTGCAAAACTACAACTTTGTCAGACCATATCAGACACAATCACGCACATACACTTATGCACACCGCTCAGCACTGCAGTTGGATGAAAAACAACATAGCAAATACAGTCCTACAGCAATCTGACAGGAATTAAGGGGCCACTTCACAGAGGCTCACACATGTGTGCATGCATGAACTGCACATGCACACACTTACACACACACAGACAGACAGACAATCCCAACAGGGGGGGAAATGATTGTCTACAGCAGGGGAACTGGACAGGATACATCCATCTCTTCATAAAAAAAACTGCATAGGAGATGCCAGTCACTTAATATAAAATCAGAGGACCCGCTCATAATGATTTCCAGATTTTTTCATTATTTAACAGGGAGTCAAAGTGATTATGACATCTGATCCACACAAATCAGAAAATTTTGCATTTAATGTTATTTACTTTTATTTTTTATTTTCAGTATCGTCTTCAACTGAATTTCAACCCTGTCAACACTTTTTGGACATACGACTTACCGACACAGTTGAAAAAGGCTTCCTTCTTGCATTGACTGGAGCAGCCATCACCATTCATTGAGTTCATATCATCACATTCCTCTCCTTTGGAACTGAAATAGCAGGAGGAGGTACATGGAAACATTTACAGACATAATATTCAAAATGGATGATAGGCATATTTTTTCTAAAAATGCTTCAATGCACCACCACATAAATTTTGATAGTTGGAATGTAAATGCTTGTCACCTCTGGATCCGTCCATCTCCACAGTAGGGTGCCCCTAGCTCGTGTATCAGAGGTGGGGAGGGCTCGCTCTCACTCCGGGCGGAGATGGTTTGGACCTGGTACGTGTACACAACATGTGGCGCCACATCCCTGCACAGAGAGAGAGAGGCACAAATCAAAGTATGTCCGTACAATTCAGAATTATGTGAAGCCTCAAAGAAGTGTTTAGTTAAGACCACATCTAAAGAAAGAAGAAGAAAAAATTATTCAGACCACGCATGTGGAGAATAGGTTGACAGGACTAGTGTGTATAGCAAACGTGAGGTATCTCAAGTACCACCAGCAAAACACAAATAAGAACGGCTGTCTCAGCACACAGGATCACAAATCGACCTAGCCAGTCACTGCATTCACTCGCTTCGGGTCCAGCTCTGTTTTGTTTCCCCATCACAGTGATTCATGGAACCATCATGACGAATACACAACGGTCAGGAGAAATATTTGGGGGACTACTCACATTGTCGGTGTAAGTCCCCATGATGGTTCCTTGAGTCACCATGATAAGGAAGTCTGAAAAAAAAATTCTGAAAGGAAAAAAAACATAAATGAGAAAACCAAAACCATAAACAAAAAAGAATAAGAACCAAGCTGTAAATGAGAAACCATAAGCAAAACAACAAAACAAAACTGAAGAAAAACAACAGAATTGCAAGTGATGGTGCTGTCTTGACAGTAGTCGTTTTTTTTAAATTATTATTTTAAGCTTGCTTCTTTGTCATTGATCTGTTCTTGTATTACCATCAGATTTCATCATTTTTGTGGGATTCTGGCTATATTTGCTCCAAACTGCCTCAAGTGAATGACATGCGGATTCATATAAATCCTCACTATTATTTAATCTTAGCAACTTTCTTAACAGGAGACAAAAGTTAGAATAAACATTTACAAATGAGCTAGTGAAGGCAAGCAAGAAATCTGAGATGCTTACGTTTTTATTTAATATAAACAATAAAAACAGAACAACTGCATTTCAAACCAGCACTCTCATTTGCAGCTAAGTTGTTTACAGTTTTCTTTGCATTTTTTTTTGTCTTTGCTTATAGTTTTGGTTTCTCATTTCCTAGCTTGGTTTGTCTCTTATGGTCATGGTTTCTCCTTCATGGTTTCCTTTTTTTTGCCTTTCAGAGTTTTTGACCCTTGCATAAGGAGACATTATTTCTCTACATTCTAATTCTGGTAGCATGGTGGCCAGCGATGTAGCTTCACAGCCAGAGAGGCCGCGGATTTCCCTCAGTCTGATGTTCTCCTCGTGTCAGCGTGGATTCTCTTCAGGATGTCCGGTTTCCTTCCACATATCCGAAGACATGCAGCTTAGGTTAAATGATTTCTCTAAATTGCCCACTGTCAGTGTGAATGGTTGTCTGTTGGTATGCGTCGGCCCTGCGATGATCTGGATAAGAGGTTTAAAATGGATGGATGGATCTCAGTTCTACAATCAATGCAGTTTAGTTTTTGGTATGCTCGACCACGTTGGCGCGTTACATCCTGTATGTTATGTTAATCTATGCTAAAGGAGTCAGGAATGTATAATTGTTGTCAGTTAAATACATGGCAAAAATAAGGTGCAGTGGGAAAGCATCAGTAAATGAGGGTAAACAGGACCGATGGGTTAGCCATAGATCATTTAAAATGGACCATCAATCTTGCGTGGAACATGCATGTAGATTTAACTCACAAGAGTAAGAGGGCATAAATAGATTCACGCGCACGCACAGACAAATACATGCTGGCAAAGGCATGAACCCTCATTCACAGTGCTACCATATAATCCCCAGTTTGAGTGTAATGCAGCAAACATTGACTCAAAGGTTTCACACATGGCCAAAGATGAGGTCAGCAATCAAACCAGTGTAATAAAACACTGAGCTCTTTGGTTTTGTATTTTTGTCCAGTTGGGGCTGAGTTGGGGCTTGATCCCTGGCTCCAACTTTCCATGTGATCAAATATCCTTTGCCACAACACTTAAGTGTGGGTGTAAGAGAGATATTTACCGTTAATACATAAGTAGGGACATGGCTAAAGGGGTGGCTAGAGACATCCCAGGAATCTTATTGAACCTCACCTCCCACTCAAGTGCCACTCCATTATTATGGAGTCAGAGAAAGCACGTAGTTAGAGCACGTAGTTATGAGCGGGTCCCTCATTTAGTTGCCATTTTGGCAATGACGAAACCGCTTCCTCCCTAAATATGGCCAGATTGTAAAAATGTTCATTTCTGCTGTTAATTTGAACAAAGAGGTGTACAGGGATTGATCACTTCCCTTGAAGTGGCCATTTTGTGGATACAGCAGATTTTGGTCCTTTTGCCTTCTTCAGTTCTCAGCACTGGAGGTAGCCGCTTGGTTATGTATCTCAATCTGTGCGTGAGGTATCAGATTTCTATACGTATGTGTTGTGTCTAGCAGCAACTATGGCCTTACTACAGAAATCTTAATTACCCAGAGACGTTCCACTTAGATCTTATAAAGTATGAAAATGGAGCAAGGGTTGCGCGAGGAAACTGATTTGGTATTAATGTTTGCAAAGAAACAATCCCGAAAATATTGATCTTGTGACAGAGGCCATCCCTGCATAAGTCTGTGCCTCACTTGAGCAACCCCTGCAAAAACATCTGGACACACCCCTATATTTAATTGCAGTCAAGTAGAAACATGAAAGACCTCAAGGAAGAAGAAGGTTGAATAAAATAAGCAGGTACTCATAACCCCAAATGCACTGCTTAAAGGTGTTAAAGTGAGCGTTTCATTGCGCACACATGCACTTATGCTCCTCCTCTAGTGATTGATGTGAAAAAGAACACAAAAACAAGCATGTGGTCCTTGGTTTTTCACCTGTTTCTCTTGTGTTTGTTTGTTACATTCCCGGAAGAAACAAGCACACCAAGTTCAAGTTAACTGTACTCAATTATTTAAAAACGGATGGATTTTAATATCAAGTAACAAAATGCAAAATCTGTGCCTAGGATGTGATATTTATGTTGGCCTCATTGATATCAACACAGAATGTTTGACCTGAGAGACTCTCTTTTATACTTCGGTATGTCCTGTTCTGCAATATTGGCCCATGCCGGTGTAACTCCAGGCTACACTCAAACATACCCAACCCCCCCCCCCCCCCCCTCTCTCTAATTGAATTAGTTTATCCCTTAAAAAAGTTGAGCTGTGGGAGACTTTATCTTTGAGGAGAGCAAACACACAGAATCAGCGGAAAGAAGAGAAACGCGAGAAGGCAGCACATGAACCTCTTGATGAAGCCACACTGAGAGACATGGTCATGCAAGAACGAACAAAAAAACGCAAGACAAGTAGCTAGATACGGCTGAGTTAAACAGGGAGGAAGATACTTTTTTTTCCTCTAAAGAAGAAGAAATAGACCTAGAATTGTATAGATGGGGTAGGAAGGCATTTGAAAAATGGCTGCACTCAATATTTTCATAACAAGCAATCAGTCCTGGGAATATAGACAGTCCTCTATTGAAGCAAATGAGGAAGCAGCTTGATGCGAGTCCTTGGTTTACGTCCACAGTACACGTTGACTAGGTTAGGGAAGTCCATGTACGCTTTTTCCTGACAAAAAAAACAGATCTGAGTCAAGATCTGGACCATTTGCAATTATTTCCCCAGACTACAGGACATGTGATGCCACGTAGGCCTATCATTAATTACTACCTGCTTTGACCAATCTATCAAAGTTCATGTCATGGACTCCCATGTCCTGTCTGATAAGGGGGCACCGTGGCCTCTCAATCTATCTATCTCTAGATAAAAGAAATAATAAAATGTTTTCGTCCTGCTATGAAGTAACTACTTTGCTGTGTGTGGGCCTTTTGCGTCATTTTGTCCGATTTCGCACGACGGCATCAGCCGTTTCAAAACAGGTTGTAAAAAGGATTTCAGATGTATTCCGACCCAAGAACACACCCATGCTCTACCCCACCTGTAGGTTTTCACGTCTTGCGCTGGACTAATTATGCTACTAAGCAACAAATTATATTACCTGGTTGTCATAATGCTAAAGGGTCAAAAGTGCAACTCCTCATAGCGTGATAACAACTCTTTTAAATGTAGCTCTCAACCTGTTCCAAATTAGGTGCATGCTTGATTCCACCTGACCTCACTGCTAATAGCCATGCCGTGTTAGAAGCTGCCGTTGGCAAGAAAGAAGCAAAGAAAGAGGGAGCATGCATTCAAGAAAAATGTATATTTGATACATGTGTATGTTATGAGCAACATGACTTTCGGCAACCAGCCAACCAGACTTCATAAAACCCCACTCTGTCTCTATATCTGATTAGATTGAATGTGCGACTTATCTAAGATGCAGCTCATACTACAAAGGGCTTTACTCCAGTTGCTGAGGTGTCACATGATAAGATTTTGCTGTTGGTGCCTCTATGTGCATCCAGACATTCTTCTCAAGGCCCCTCCGGGAATAGAGGTTTTATCTGGCACGAGGCACTGTAATATGCCTTTCAACATGTTTTGATAACAGCAGGTGATTACACATGGAAGCTATGCGCTAACGTATGTGCCTGCTAGTGAGAGCGCGAGAAGAGAGACGGTGTGTGTCCATGTTGATCTGTGTGTGTTCCTCTCTGCAGTGGTGTGTGCAGTAGGCTGTATGAGCATGCACATGTATGTGTGTCAATTCTGTAGCCGCTTGTTGTTCTTGGCAGAGAGATCTCAGATGAGAGAAGCAGATAAATTTAAGGAAGTTAAGAAAATATCTTAGATCGAGCCTGCAAGAACAATAAACAGGGCTACGCTCCTTCGGGCAGCTAACATACATATGTGGTTTTATTGCCATTCATTGTAAACCTATGGTATGTCTAACACACTAATGCTACGTGTTGTGACTAGGAGGTGGTTCAAAAGAGACAAATACCATGGCCAAAGTTGTTTTGGTAATATTAGTAAAATTGCAAGTAACTGCTAATAGTTGGTAACTGGTAAATGCCAGGTCACAGCTTTTGATTATTTTTGCTAGTTTTTGTTATCTTATCATGAATAAACTGTTAAGCAGTAAAATCAATGAATAATGAGGTTCGAAAATTTATGTGGGAATGAAAAAAAGGGTTGGCAAAACATCCATTGTTCACATAAAATTTTAATTTATTTCTTACATTGACCAAAACGGTCTTGTAACATCCAACGAAAACTTAGATGTGAAATAAATTAATATTATTATTGGTTAGGGTTACGGATCTACCAAAATTGTCCCATGGAATATTAATAATTTCCCAAACAAATGTTACGTTTGGTCTACACTTATGGCTACACTATGATGAAAAGAGCTTTGTGTGATTTGTCGTCCAACACTGTGAAAAAGAGTTCATAACAGTTGGGAACAATCCCAAATTTATTCCTGTGAATTCATGATTGGTAGCATAGCCACCATGCTACCAATAACGCTGATTTGTATACATCAACACAATGTGAAATAAAAAGTGTCAAGAGTATACTGTCGCCTTTTTGACATACGCAGATGATACCCACAATTAAGAATGCCAGAAAGCATTGCTATTTGGCACTATTAGCCAGAAAGTGTATAAGTGAATCTTCCATTTAAGAGGTGAAATGTGGTAGTCTTATTTCTCCAGCAGCAACAGAGTAGTTAAGGGATAAATTGAGGGAATAATGTGGAAAAATCAGAGTAGAGTCAGATTACACAGGGGTGTGGGGTAATAATGATGCTGGGGGGGGGGACTACCTTCTCTCTGTTTTGGCTGGGAGGTCTCTTCCCATCAGCTCTGTGATAGGCTTTGACTGAATGACAGCTCGGAAACCCACATCAGGGGGGATTAGCCGATAGGCTGACGTGCCTCGGAGGGATGAGGTCAAACTAGTCCGATCCTCCCGCCCTCTCTCTTCATAATTGATCGACCCCCCAAGGTTCTCGTCCATCACCTTTTGCCCCCCTTGAACCTAGCAATGAGTTAACCCCAACTTGTCCGGTCTGACGCCCGAACATCTCCTCTTCAGTTGACACTTCTTTCTCCCCAACACAATTTACTCTGTCACCCTGACCTCCCGGCCCTCCGCCATTCCAAACTAACCACCACCCATGGTTGGAGCCAAGACTGTCAGTTGTCCTCTTGCTCGGTTTGCCCCAGCTCAGACGAGGTTCAGTGACAGGTCAACCAGTCACCTGAACCAAGACCTCCATCACTCTATCCAACTCTGTGGAAACGTTGCAAGAAGAAGCAGCTTACTGTGTGGTCAACAAAAGCATTTCAGCAGCTGCACCAAGCCAGTCACACATTGGATTTGTGGCACGCTAAAAAATAGTGTGAACTTTAGCTCTTTACTGCGCCAAGTCAAAGGCTATGTTTGTTGTTGGCCGTGAAGATAATTCAGCATTTTCTTAAACAACAGAATATATATTAAGTCTGACAGTGTTCTTTTTGATTGACTCTTGGCGCTCCTGCTGGCAGTAACTTTCTTGTGCTGGAACATTATTTGCACTTCACTTACTTGGTTTGGGTAGCACCATTGCATGCAAACAGACCATTATGCGTAGTAATAGACTCGCAAACTGCTTCCCCTGTATCAATATCATAAGTTCGATGTCCAGGCTAAGGTCCATTTTTTTCTCGATCCGCTTTTTTATCTTGACGATTTTTGTTTCTATGTTTTAATCCAAATTGGTTTTAGGTAAATGCATTATCCAAAGGGACAGGATACAAGATTCTTTTGCCACGCCAAGTGAAGGCTCGTAGCTAACAATGCCAAACGGATCCCATCCCGGCCATACCAACAAAGCAAGGAAAAGCTCAGATTACAACACACACAGAGGGATAGTGACTGCATTCCATGCTCAGCTCAATAACAGATATTTAGCACATATTTGTATTGCTGTTATTCTTCATTTTAGTGGGTTAAAGACTTTAATGCCTGAAACACACATAATTGCTATTAAACTTATCTGACCATTTAACAGAGATAAGATCCCATGTGCCCACACAACAGAAAAATAGTCAGCCAATACCACTGACCACTACCACTGGAATGCAACCACAGCTAGTAAAATACACCACAGCAGCGAAACTACCGGCAGTACATCAGTGATCACGGAAGTTTGCCAAAACCCCCAAATGAATGAACCGCTGCTGCAGACAGCCTACAGACTCAGCGTTGCCACCAGGAAGTTGTATGTGGACACTTAATGGAACATAAGTATCATCACTCGATCTTGCATTACATGCATACTCACCATTTTGGCTCTTATCAAGCATTTCTCTTCTCATGTGAACCACGCTGACAAAACGATAGTGAGATGGCACAACACGCAGCGGTGCCATGTATAGCACAATCTTTATCGACTCAGCACATTCCACGAAAGCAAAGCATTTAACTCTCACCACAGTGTGCAGATAATACCTTTAACAAGCCATCTGTTTGCCCTTGCTTCATGGAACATGGGAAAAAACAAATGTGGGCAATGGTTGACCTGTGACTTAGGAAACAAATGTTTGGCAGTAGATTAGAAAATGCAGAAGCAGGGGCGGCTTGCTCGTGCTCCTGGGAGTATAGAAAAAGGATACCTGATATTACAAGAGCATATGTGTGTGGACAGTTTCTGCAGATAAACAAATACCTTCTTACTGGTGTGCTCCAAAAAATGACATCACTTCGAAGCATGGAGCTAGCAATTCTCTACTTCAAAAAAAAAAAAAAGGAATCTGGGTAAAACTAAACGTTTAAATAAATGGGTGGGAAAGTTTGTGATTTACTTGGAATGCTATTTTTTTTTAGCACCTTGAGATATGAATAGATATCTGCACTCGTACAAAAGTATTCACCTACCAGGCCACTCACCTGTCTGTATATCGGCGGGTAGGTTCATTCAACATCAGACCATATTGTGCATGGGTGAAGTGAGGTTGGCGCAGCAGCCGGTAGCGTAGCGGTTGGCAGTCCTTGCAAAGCTTGTTGCCTGGCTTGGATGCCAAGAGGGTGGCATCGATCTCTAGATGTTGCTCCATAGTGAAAAACTGTACACCATAGACCTCTTCTTTTGTGTCCAGCTTCAGAGTCAGTGGGGTGTCACAGAAGACATTACTCGGGCCCAATGAAATGGTCCCCCCACCGACGGTTAGTAGCAGGATGTTGTGGATGGCTGGCAGTGCTGTTTCCTCTGGGCTGAAGAAGGTCACCCACACCGTCAGGGAGTCTGGTACCAGCGGGTAGGTGAACTCCAGCTGAAGCATGCAGCCCTGGAGGGGGCACTCCGACAGGCCGACAACACCTTGCTCAATTCCTGCATTTGGGCTCCAAGTGCGCACGCTTGGCTCACAAGGCTGTTCCACATCTGGAGGGCCTGCAAGACAGACACAACACATTGACATGACATACAAATCAGACAAACTAAGCAAAGGTCCCCTATATATTTCCTATATTCACATAATGAACTAGAAATCATCTTACAAGGGGATCACTATCCGTGAGGCTACATTGGGCCAAATACAGTCAGTCAACAGACAAAAATCCAAACATCTGGCAAAGCAATCAAAACCGCTTTTGTGGTAGATCCCTCTACACAAGGTGTATCCAGGACCACATTTTACTACAATGACGAACACAAACGCAGAAGTTGAAATAAATACCAGCCACACGCTGTCACATCTGGTAATAATTGTTAAATTAGACATATAATGATGGGTAGAAATTTTACGTGGTACGGGTCCTTGAATTCCTGAAAAAAATGCTGAAAAAACATTTCAGAACAAGTAAAATAGTCAGTTCTATCCAAATATCATTTTGAGGAATGTCGACAGATCAATACTGTGCATGTGTGATCTTTTTAGTGTAGCTACACGTTTTGCAAGATCAAGGTAGGGGTGAAACTGAGAGTTCATTGTGGGTCCATCTGCAGGGGAAAGGCAGAGCTGAGGTGTGTACCTTCCGAGAGGGGCCTGTGCAGGGTTCTCACTTCACCACGGTCATTACAACCTCTTGCAGTCACACTCCAGCCATATTTGGAGTCTACACACAGCTAACTCGCATTATCCCAAGTGACGTACACTAACATTCATCAAGCACTTTTAGAAGCCAGCAAGCAGCAGACACTATGTTCTCCCTCAATTTCCTTTTGTGCATTTCCAACCTGGCAACCAACGAAGCCATTTACTAACCTCATTTCTGGGCACCGTGCAAAATTCCAGTGTTTAATCAAGTGAGGACTGAATATGGTTTCCAAGCCACATTATCTCAGCACATTTATTATTTTACTGTAAGTGCGTGTGTGGCCAGAGTGGAGGTGAATTAAAGAAAAAGAGAGACAGGGAGAAAGTTAAAGAGAGCGGGCGGAGGGGTGGGTGGGGGGGGGGGGCTGGTGTAAGATACTCTCAGAGCTTGGCTTCGCTTGGCTTATGTAGTTCTGGCTTTCGTTGTACATTTTCATTGAGTTTGCAAGGAAAGGAACTGCAGCCACTGAAAATATTTTGAAATGTCAGCTGTTATGATGGGCCTCCATCCTGCTCTGGCACTGTTGCTAATGTGGTTGGAGATTTAAGAGGAGACAGAATAAGAGTGTCATCCACTATGTAACCTGAGGCAATGTAAACTGTATTTCAAAGATTCAAAGATGTATCCATAATTGGCTAAACAATCTGTGCAAGCAAAGGGCTTTAAATTCAACTTTAAAACCATTTAAAAAAATTATATGCAATGTTTTGCTTAATTAACGGCTTTGTCAAGGGAATTAAAATTCCAATGACAAGATAAATGCTATATTTTGTTTCAGATTTACAGACCCACACAGCTGTCCCAAAATATGATATCGGCATCTTACCACTACATAATAGTGCTGGGGTGTGCGGGGGGGGGGTCTAGCCCATTAATGCTAATCCTAAAAATGTACGTCTACTCTGCACGCTGCAATTTTAACTGTCGCCAAACTGGTGCACGACCCAGCACTATTCTTGGGGGCTGGAGATATGCAGCGAGCTGGGTGTTTGCATGTGCTTCTGTGTGGACGTGTCTGCCGTGTCAGTCCCTCAGCTGTCTGGTGGCAAGCACATACCAGAGAGAGAAGACAGGCCGCAGCGTGAATTGGACAATAGGAAAATAAAGTTATATTCTCCTGATTCAATGCTTTGTTCTCACTAAGGGCGGCCCCCTCACTGCAAGGAGAGACTTTTGATTGCTATATTAACAAACAGCAGCCAACAATGTAACCACGTTTTGTCTCTTTAACATCTCCTACAACCTGATTTAACATGGATGCACTCTGACGCTGGGGTCATGGTTTTGCCACACAATTTAGCTCACTAAATGTTTATAAGGATATTTGATAACGAAACAACTGGGAAATCGCAAATCAGCATCTGTGCTGGTTTAATGTTTTTTTTTTTATGTCGAGGTGCAAAAAAATCCTGGTACTGTGCAGTCCTACAGAAAGGATGATGAATGTTTGACACAACTTACAGAAAGATGACGAGTATGTCAAAATACAACTTCATGATAGATGCTAATGCCTGCTGACTATCCAGTTATAATCCTTCTGGTCTGGAGAATCCTACTGATCCAAAAAAAGTCCAGAGAGCCGTAAGAATAAACAGACAGGGATATGTCCGGGCAGGCACACTTTATGCTTTCTAAGAAGTGTCTGGCTCTGGCCCTCAGTATCAATGACTCACTGTCACCCACTTTCTCACTCCCAAGGCAGATACTTGAGATTTAATGTCACATCATGTTGAATTCAGCGGTTTATTTAAAATATATATATATATTAATATACATTTCACTGATGATAGATGGATAGATGGATAGATATAAATAATCTTGTTAAATCAAAGGAGGGAAAGTAAGCAGATCTTTGTTTACAATAGTGGGTTATGTATAACGTTAAAATTACATTTAGTTCCTATTGGTTGATTATTATTTGGACCTGGAGCCTGGCTGTTTATTCTTGTCAGGCAGACAAACCATTGCATCACAAAAACCAGGATGGAATCTAATATTAATAACATTAATGACCTCAACGTATAGACACACATACTTTTAGTTATTTGGTTAATATATACATATTTACACGCAAGCAAAGATTTAGTATATTCCTTATATTGCAAAAGCATATGAAGATTATTATGTTGTATACCTCCATGTGCATACGCAAAATAGCAGGATTGTGTATACACACAGAGCTCCACACACATTTCCCCACTCTTGTTGCCGAACATACGCATCCTAGACCTTTCACTTCCATTCATGCACGCTGCTGTTTGCAATCAACTCGGGATCCTCCCTTGTGAATGTCACCAACCACATGCAATTCTCCCAACTATCTTGGCGCCTCCCTGAATCCATATCTATGTGTGGTTGCTTTTATTTTTTTTGTCCAGCTTTTTTTGTCCAGGCCATACAATAATAAAGAGTATGAGGGATTCTCTGGCTCTAATTGACCTTACTATGCCAATAGTTCCCAGTCAAGTAGTGTGACCCCACGGAAATAACAAGTTGCCAACACATTTTAATTCCAACTTGTCAATACGCCCAGGTCCAATAGTGACGCAGATCGCCATACGTTGTTGTTACTCGAAGGCCTGTTACTGAGTTCCCATGTTTGTGCAAATCACCAATCAATGCGAATGAATGGACACATGCACAGTCACACAGAGGCATATGTCGATGTGCTTATCTTCCAATATGTTCCGCCAATATCTAAAAGGTTTACAGTTTCTTAAATGGGTTTGCCTGTCTACTTGCAAGTTCCTAACTGCTGGACACATATGCGCCATCACAGCAGGAAACGGCAGCTGTGGTATCCAGTGAGAAGCTGGCCCAACAAGCAGCAGAGTTAAACGGGAACGGGGAGCTGCCACAAACAGGGACCCCTTCCAAGAGGGAAAATAGAGTACAGTTTACACACGCAGCATGTTAGACAAGCCCAGACTTGCCTCTGGTACATACACCATAGTCAGTGTGCAGGCAAGGTCCAGTGGCTTCAGAATCTACAGGACATCCACATATACCCACAATATAAACACACACACATACACACAGACAGACACAATCGCAATGGGGTTAACAACACCCTCAAACTGTTACATTATTGTACGATAAAAGTACAGCCTCTCGTACCTTTATTGCTTAATTATTATCAATAAAGCGGTTTTCACATGGACCCACAAATTGAATATTTACAAGGTTTGTCCCATCATAAACTTTGAATCGGACTGTAAACAATACACGGAAATTGGGTTCTGTCGCTTCCAGAAATATACACTCTTGGTCTAACAAGAGAATAATTAATATGGTCACCATTAGAAACATAGCAATATGTGTGAAGAAGCAAATTATGTCAATAAACCGAATAGAAAACTAAAATGTCAGCATTAGACATAGTATTTCTCCTTGGTTATTGGCACAGTATGTAATGTTTTGGCGCAACATATATTGGCACAATATGTACATGTATGTATGGGCAAAATCCTGTTCATGGATACCAAGACCTTGGTGCATACCTGTATGTGTGCATATCTATCAAACAGACTTTGTTTGTATCGCACCAGGAGAACTTTGAAGTGCTTCACAGATGATGGACAAGGCAAAAATTAGAAAGAAAAAGTATACAATGATAATAATATTTTTTAACCTTTTTCAATTTGAGGTATGGCTAGAAAGGTCGGTGTCATACACACATTTAAATATTTCAGTACTTCCAGCAATTCTCAGCTCATCAGGCAGACTAATCCAGCAGCGTGGAGCCATAATGGCCATAAACCGCCTCACTAAAGGTTTTAGAGTTTGTTTTTATGTGTATCATTATGTGTGAGCATGTGTTCATGGTTACGACATTTCAGTTTAGCTCACATTTCAATAGCATAGAACTAACTATTTTACTGTTTTTTTTATGTGATCATCATCTTACCATTTTATTTTATGATCATTATTTTATTTTTTTCACTACTGATCACACTTCAATTGTAGCCCAAAGGGTATGAGGAATATAGTCCGGGAGTGTGAGAGCCAAAGCAGTGATAGCCCTGTTAGCTTTTTATATAGCTATAGCGGGTACTAAAAGTTAACTTTAAGAGCAGCATGAATTGGACTAAAGACACATACTAATTGGACAGCCTAACCATTGAAGTGAATACAAGATGCATTAAAAAACTGGCACAAGTTTTTTCTATCAACCCCATCAACAACAATTTCCCATTTCAGTATTCAATGGATTCAGCTGCCAAATGCTCTTAAAGACCCTGGTTTGTTTTATAATGAGGCAGCAGTCTCCGGTTTGGACAAGTGAAGCCAAAACAGAAATGTCTTAAAACTTATCTTCACTAGTGAGCGGAGGCAAGTCCATGAGACAAATTGCCCTCCTTCTCACTTCATTTATTACCACAGGAAACCTGGTAAACAAGAGTTTATGTTCTCAATTCACTGTTTTCAAGTGTTCTTCCACTTTGTGTTTCTTTGGCAAAAAATTTGGAGTAAAATACACCATAAAGCGGCTTGGGCGTCGGGGGGGGCTTAATGTGATTGACTGGTCAAAGGCCGCTACCAGAGCCTTGTATGGCGCCTCTATGTCACTCCTCCGTGTTCCAAATGTGTAATGAAATGACAATGACAATGTCTGCTGCTATAAAAAAACATAGTATATATATAGTGTCATACTGTACCTTCAGCCTCTCGCGGGGACCAGTGTCCCGAAGGGGCACACGGTCGGGGGGAGGAGGAGTTGGAGGCATACTGCAATAGAACTCCACCCTCAGTGCATTTATCACACACTGATCCCACTTCTCTAGGAAACCAACAGACAGGCACACAAACCAACTTAGATACAGGCCAAATAAATGTCATTCATACAATAAAAACAATCACATCTATAAATATTTTTACCAATGATGAGAGCATAGTGGTATGTGGCTCACCTATAAGGGCCTGTAATAATACCCCTGGTTGTTATATTAACCCAAACAATATTCAATTATTCTGTCCAGTTAGTTGTGTATGAAGCTCATTTCACCTCTCATAAAAGTGTCCAGAAATCGGTGGAAACCATTCCAGGGTGATGGAATTATGATGCTGCTCGACCACTTGAGGGGACATTGGCACCGGAGGAGGTTTGGAAGCGGGTTGCCATGTCTGGTAGATGAGGTCCAGGTAGCAATGCATCCTCGCAACCTGGTTGAGCGTGAATGAGTCTGTGCACGCATCATCTGAAAGTATATTGGATCGATCAGTGACAGGAAAGGGCAGGAATTAAACAATTCCATCTACATTGAATTCAAAAATAGTAATACATAACATCCCTTGATATTTACCACTTTCACATGTAACTATGACAACAAAGATTCTCTCACCTTTTCAGAAGTGTCATGAAAGGATGTAACCCCCCCCCCCCCCAGGTTTTTCCCATGAAATGTCCCTGCTAAATTCCACATCCGTCTCAGTATGCACACAGACTCAACAAATTCCTCAACGGGAATCTTTATGTGTCAGTTTCATGTGAGAGGTAGAACTGTAGGGTTCTGAGCAGCTAAGTAGTAAAACATATGTGTCCGTCTCACCTGCATAGCTCATGTAGTTGTTAAACGGCGTGTGTGTGAAATGGCGACAGCCACAGGTTTCGTTGCCAGGTTCGGGATCGTGGCAGCCTTTGTATTTGGGTGTTGGGTTGGTGTCGGCACACAGATCTCCGGTTTCCATTGAAGGGTCAGTCTCCAAACATGCATCATTGCAAGACTCAATCTCTGAAATACCTCGAAACACGTGATAAAGTCCGAGACTGTGACCGATCTCGTGGACCATTGTGTCAGTGTGACCAAATGTACCATAGAAGGAAGGGTTCAGAACAATCCCACCTGAGAAAATGAGGAAGAGGACATTCACATGGTGTGCACACAACAACAAAAAAGCATATTCCTAGTCTAGTGTAAAGTAATTGTGGAATTGGAATAAAATTCAGACAATGCATCATTAATGGGCCGCCGCACTTTTTCCCTGTAAGAGCTGCGATTGAGAGAGAAACTGCCGAAGGCTTGAACTCTAATTATTCAAAATCAACAATCTAGACTGCCAAAGATGAGTTGTGTGTATGTCAGCGTGCATGCATGTGTGTGTGCGTGTGTGTGTTGTCGTTCGTCTTCTACCCAAATGTGTGAGGGCCTCTTTGTCCCAGGGCCAGGTGGCAACCCCCGCCAGATCTTCATCAGAAGAATTGGCAAAGAAGACATTCAGGTGAGTTGAGCCATTCAAACGTAGAATCTCTTTCAGCTCTTTAACATCCAAATAGGCTCTGAAAGGTAAAAAGGCATGGGAAAGGAAAAACAGTATTTCATATTAGGTTGCAACAAGGAACTGAATTTCATCAAAGTTTTTCAAATAACAACCGTGTATTGTTATCAGTCAGCAAGACAGAGCTGATAATTCAACCCGTGCTGAATTTGAATACTTCATTAAATGTTTTGTAATAGCCCTTAAGCCAACAGAGTAGAAGTTGAAAAAAAAATTAGGAAAAGGTTAGGTTTCAACCAATATATCCAATATGGCCAATAAATCAATACTAATTAATCCATTTAATATAACCTGTGTTCAGCCAAAAAGACATTGTGTTGTAAAGTCTTGGCACAGTAATTGTGCACCTGCAGTGTGGGTATGATTGATGTCAGATAAAGTACTTTAAATTGGGTTGTTGCAACCACTGTTAATGTCTCTTTTTATCCATTTACATTTCATTGCAAAGTAAGTGAAGAGAACTTCACTTTATGTGATGGACTTAAACATTTCTTACTTTTATATGTGTACAATACCTTAAAATTTGCCTCTACGGGTGTTTTGCTCGTTTACAGTTGACTCTGCATTTGTGGTGACACAAAATGCCAAGCCACAATGTTTTTGTGTCCATGGTGATGTTGGATATTTCATGTTGGAAGAAAGTAAATCATGCAAAAACCAGTGTAATGATTTTTTCCGATTGTGTATCTCTTCGAGGATCTCCTCTAGTGTTCGTCGTCTTCATTTCTGCATGGCAGGGTAATCTCGTGGAAAGCTCCATAAGTACCAAACAGGTGCTTTTGTGAAAAATCTCCTCTTTCAAAACATAATTCTTGGATGTCTTAATATTTTGTGACATTGCTTCATGTTCTTCATGGTTTTACCGGCTTCACTCCAGTGAAATGACACTGGACACTAAGGGAAATTCACAGTGACGGATAATTAGCAAATATTCTGATGTCTCCCTGCCATGACATAATGTTTTGTCTCAGGCGTGGGGATACCGATGGCAGCACTAACGACTGCAAGTGCAATCACTCAAAACGATGAGATCTTTCCAAGAAAATACTGTCATTAATTGTTTAACACATGGGAGCCTGGCTAGTGGTCTTGGCAAACAGCATCAACGTGCTCGGTCCTGTTTGAAGAGTTAGTAATCTGTTGCACATGCCGAAGTGAGTTTATTTCTTTTAATTCTCTTTAAACTGATGTGGAAATAGATATACTAGGGATACAAAAACAAGTTGAGATATTTTGACCTCATTTGTGTGACCCGCTTACTCTTATTTTGCATGTGCTTGGATCATAACAATACGTGAGATAACACCGCGGCTAAAAGAGCATGCCATTACTGCCCCTGATTCTACAGCACGGAGAGCTTTCTCCCAGCAAAAGATTATTTTTCAGCCAATCCCCATTTTACTCTCTACCCATTTTGTATTCCCGAGTGGCAAAGCAGGCGGACGATCATTCCTGCGTGGGTTTAAGGCTAACTTGTTGCAGGATCACTTTTAAGATGGTATGCTGTTAATGCTGTTGTGATATGTTGTGAGTAGTACCCTGTGTCTTTGATAGTTGACCAATTTTGGTAGAGTTTTACAAATGTACCAGTTGTCATTCTTTGGAACTGGAATTACTGGCATACATCCATTAGGATTAATGGCCCTGTGATAACGTAATGTGTGAAATCTTGGGATTTCATCATTTGGTGCCAAAAGAAGTGAAAATGTGTGAATAGTACCACTTTAGTACTAGTGTTAAACTACAGTAGTTCCTTTTTGTTGGCCAGTATTCACTCAAAGACTTATATATGTTAGTTTTATTAGATAATAAGACCATTTTATATGATGTCAGGCCTCCAAAGATGAACTACATTGTTACATATGCAGAATACATTTTTTACTGGAGTCAATTAAATGTGACCAGCTGTCCCAATGTGCTCTTTTTTCCTTTCCTGGTCAATAGTTGCATAGTTGAGGCTGTAACATAACATTTCTGTGTTAAACTAAACAATGTAAAAGTCTGATAAATTTTGTGTTCTGGAAGAATTTACACCAGTGAGCTAGTTTCCGCAACACGGTTACACCTGCTAAGGTTACCACGCATGCTCATTTCATCAACAACAACACAAAAGGTTCCTGACATTTCTTAAAATCTTTCCTTTCTATGCCTGAAATCTTCAAGTTGCTGCTTGGTGAAGATGGAGCCCTCTCTCAAAAGATGCGTAATATAGAAAGAAGTTCAGTGTTGGAAACGTTTTCTTCCAGCCCACGCAGGAGCAAGGGGCCCTTGCTGGTGTCAGGTCTAATGATCGAGTGAGAACCGAATATATAATGTTCTTCTTCCTAGCAATTTCAGGAATTTAATTATTTCCTTTAAAAATATTTGTCCCGAGTTTTTGGGACATAAATGGTGGGGGGTGAGGGGTGGTTGAGTCACCAACGAAGAAGAACAGAGAGTTCTAGTCAAGGGTCAGCACCTACATAAACCAAGCTCAATTCCTCTTAAGCCCTCTGTCCTCTTAAGAAATCCCAATATGCAACACATGCTGGTTTGATGAACGGAGAGACTTTTGGATCAAAAGCAACAATTGATTAAACAAGAAAAACCCCATTGTCTTTCTGCATCTGCATTTTTGAATATTTGCGTGTACGATTTCAGACGCTGGAAAAGCTTTCGGTAAATTATTGGGTTGCAACTTCATCGTGCGGGTGTTAAACGTCAGAGCAGTTTAGGCCTCTGACTTTCGATCCGTCTATTTACGTCTTAGTCAAAACCATCTTGTCAATCACCCTTTACCACGCCCACGGTCTCTCTCTCTCTCTCTGTCTCTCTCTCAGTCTCTCTCTCTCTCTCTCCCGGCCCTCAACTATTTCACCATCCCTTGGTCTCTGTTCCCCTCTCTTGCCTTCCATTAAACTTTTCTTAGCCAAGATGAGCCACTTGGGAAAGACAGGAGTTTCCATGCATTTAACCACCCCACCTTTTGGACATATCCTGGAGAATAGCAGAAACAAAATTAAAGTAGTGAGAGAAAGAGAGAGAGAGAGAGAGAGAATGGTAAAGTAAGTACATAAAATCAAGCTTAAAATAAGTATCACTGGAGGGCATTTGTTGGAGGTCCAGGGGGGAACGAGGCAGCTCAGACGGCAGCGTTAATGCTTCTATATCTGATGCGTAGTAAATGGGGGATTATGACCTTACACATTTACACCCATATATAATTCATACAAGCCCATAAGTTTGCCTTGTATACACGCGTCTGGATCAGTATAGTGTGTAAGCTGGCATGGCAATGACGGTCTCACCGCCAAAAACACTTTTAAAATTGGAGAGGGGCCCTCAGCTCCTCTGTCATCGAGTCGGTCAACACCACAGCCCCTAAACCCATCATTCATCTCAGGCTTGTTACTTATACCTGGCATCTCTCGTTAACCTCCAAAATTACTCCGCTGAATTTTCTCCCCCCTCCAAGTATGAGACACGCACAGGAAACTGTGTCAACGCTCAGATGCAGGCAATGCTGCCTGTGACTGCTCCGAGCCTGGAGAAAAATAAAGTGTTTGGAGGAGTGGACGATGGGATGGTTTTAAGCTCAAAAGTGAGAGAGGAATAGAGCACCGGAGTGAACAGTATTGAGTCAATTCCCCTAGTGTTCCATATATTCAAAAGAGCACCTACATACATTATCCCCTCGCAGCCAGATGAAAGTCCCCTTTTCTGCCCAGTGAAGTAAAACCCATCCTTACTCCGCTTTCCCCTCAGTCACCTAGTTAAGCAGAAAGAGGTCTATCAGCCCCCATGCCAGCACAGGTGAAACTTCAACAGCAGGTGCTTTAGAAGTGTGCTATGTCTTTAAAGGAGAAGTGCAAACTCCTGGTATTTACGCCCAAGCACTCCATTATATTTTATGGGATGGGAGCTTAAGGTTTAGACGACCAACTGTAAAACACCCAAGCCAATGGCCCCGGAGATTAGCTTCCCACTCTGAGCAAAAATATAGCGGGGAGCAGGAGTGAAGGAAAGAGAAAGGGTGGTCTATCCATTAACCTGCCACATTAAGAGGTATTGACTCAGTAAGGGGAGAAAGACAGAGGCCAAGGGAAAACAGATGACCTACTGGCCTCTGACAGAGACAGGCCAAAGCTTCATTTCCCAAAACCTATGAGAGGCCCAAATGTTTCTAATTCCCGCCCCCCCCCCCCCCCCCCCTCTTGCAAAGTGTGTTTATACATTTGCTTTAGTTTGGGAGGTATTTAAAAAAAAACATTCTGATTTCAGAAGGTTGCACGTTTTCTGATACGACGGGGAATGATCCTCCGTCAAGTTGCTAGTATATCGCATTGATCTCCCGTTGGCAGACAAAGACACATAAGCCTCTCAAACTACTTTTTTTTCAGTGCAATAGCTTTCTGCTGTTTAGCACACATCATGTAAATTCACAGTGTATAATTTACAGCCGCAATTTCCAATGCCCCTGGCTGCACACAAAAGTATGAAAATGCTTTTACAGATAACATCAAATGGCACCGAAACCATAAGACGTGTCAAAAACCCAGGGCTGTGAAAACAATGCAAAATATTTCCCTCAGCCAAATGAGGGAGGGAGAGGGGGGATTATTATCAATGGTATTTTCAGAGGGGAGATTGTTGCAGGACCACAGAGATGCCTGTGTCCTGTGCTAGCCAGATTTCGGAAAACCCTCCGCGTAAGTGGTAACAGGCGCAAACCCTGCAAGAAATAAGTGCAGTACCTCACAACCATTGTTCCCCTGCACACGTGGTACATTGTTCATCCAGAATTCCATAATTAACCGAGAATGTCAAACTGTTTGTAGCGCAGCTCTCTGCAAGTCTCTCCAGACATGCGGTACCATAATCAAAGCAAAATAAGCAACCACTTGGGGAGATTATATCTATTTTTTGGACTGAGCATTATCTTGTCCTGGTTCTGTCTGTCTCTTTTTCTCTCTTTCTGGTATCCTTCCTTTCACAAGCCCATCTTTCAAATGGCCGCAGGGGGGTTTGAACAATGCAACGGCAAACGTTTTGCCAATGGCTGAAGAAGTAGTTTGCCTGTCACTTGATAAATTAGCTTCTAATGATGACAAAGCTAGAAAGGACGTGATAGGAAATATGGAAGCAACAGCAAACCCACCTGCCTTTACCCTCTGATGTTGTTAATTAGTCATTATTTAGCTATTTTGCGGCCATTTTAAACAACAGCATTGTGCCAAACAAACCATGCTTCCAGCTTAACTGTGATTGAAAACATACTGGTTCCCGTGATTCATCAGAGACAGAGAATCCCAGAAAGCTAGGCGCACTAGATATTCTCCCTATCACGTGTCCCCATATGACAGAGGTCATTTTCTTTTCTTTTATCTGTCATGATCATTAAGACTCCCCGCGTTGTCTACCAAAATGTCTTCTTCTGCTGTGTTTCAATGTAGAATACAAACAGTCCTGCTATTGGCAGTCTGACATAAACCTTATTACAGAAAAAAAAGACATCTTGCCAGCTTTTACTCATCAGCTAAAAAGCCACAGAAACATTACCACAAAAACAAAAATTTGCATGCAATTATGATGGCCTCTATATTTTCCCAAAGTGGCGGCATGAAACAACGTACAGTCCATAGAGAAGATTCTGTAATAGTGGTATTTTAGTGCAAGTAAAATGAACTATAATAATACCGTTTTTCCAGGAAAATGACTTCAGGCACCCGCGTTAACAGACCCATACCTGCCTCCCCAGGAAACATATGAAACATCCGTGGTTTCTTGGAGAGCGGTGTGTTTTTAAACGATTTCCATTGCAACAAGCCAAAAGCATACTGTACTCTCTTGTCTGACCTCTAATTGCCTTTCCACTGTTTAGAATATCACTCTTTCCAAAAAAACAACTCCCCTCTCCAATCAAGCCAGCTTTATTGGACATTTAGGTGTAGAAGACAGAGTGGAAGAAGACAGAGAGAGTTGTTGAAACTTTGCTACAAAAATGATTAGTCTGGCCTGCGCACTTGCTACTAGAAAAGTCATACGGTTGTGTTTGCTTTGCCCTGCTTAAGTGTGGGACACTGATTGAACCAGGCTAAGGCTAGATTGGACTAGCTGCTCCCAAAGGGTTTCCCAGGCCACACATGTTGAGAGTTATGTTACACTCAAACACCCAAATGGCCAGGAAACAGTAGGACCAGACTTTGAACCCTCCCTTCAGGCACACATGTATGGAATGATTTGTTTTTTGATTTACTCCAGACAGCTGAGACCACGGTGTGTTGGTTTTACCAAAATTACTCATCATGTCAAGTAAAAAACAATAATCAAGTTAAACAAGGGTCATTTAAGATTTTTGTTGAATATTTAAGTCTTGTGGTCATTACCAAAAAATACAAGAGGATTACCATTCCTGCAAACGTGATAACATGCAAAATGTGAACAAAGCCATCTTACTTGTGTGGAGACGAGCGATTGAAGCACGTCTTGGTGACATCTGTCACATTGGGGTTACAGCAGTCGCCAAGGTCATAGAAGAAGTTCTCCCAGTTACATTCAGGGTCACATACGCCATTTCCCTGCTTGTGTTCTGGGCAGCGGCTCCGAAACCCGGACATGCAGTCCCCTGCATCGAACCCTGTCAGCGGATGGTTGCATTCTGGGTCACACACATCGTCGCCAACTTTGCTGATGTCACAGTTAGCTAGAATCAAGCGGTTTCGAAGGGAGGAATTGGTCACGTTGTAAATGCTAAGCTCCCAAGTGATGTTGTAGGGGCTGAAGGCATCGTTTAGCTGCTGGTGCTGCAGGCTTATCTGGTGATCTGATACGGTTGGCTTCATCCGAGCGTCGTCCCAAACATTTATTACACGATAACGCACTTTCTTGGGTCGACGGAAGGTCCAAAGATGGTTGTAGTTTTTGATGACCTCAACGTTGTCGCAGACAGTTTGACCGCAGGTCGGCGGGTCCAGCGTTGTGTCCAATAATCCCTCAGAATTCACAATTCCACCACCACCACCCAGAAATCCTAACCTGCCACCTCCCCCCAGGTCCGGCTTAGGAAAGCTACCATCTTTTACGGTTAGCCACTTCCGGCCCGGGTACTCGAATGTTTCACGTATGACCAGTTGAGGTAGATCTTGGGTGTCCTCGTGGCCTTGCATATGCCTGACAATCTGCCTTTGCCCCCTGGCCTGCCTCCACAGGCACACTCTCTCCACTTCCCCCCTGTAATTATGATTCAGTGCATTACCCCCGATCATCAGCACTTTGCACTTTTTTGTCAAATGCTAAATACATCGCCCGATTGCTCCCGACTGACACCACTTGGGCGCCGTTGAGAAGAGCTTCATGTACACGCCATCATATGTGACGGCAACGTGTGCCCATTTGGTTGGGTAAATAGCGAGCGTTGGAGTGGATGGAGGTCACTTTGTGCGGCACGGTCAGTTTTAAGGGAGAAAAAAAAGTCAAGGGTCACGGTTCCCATGTTCACTAACGCCTGATGCCAAGCAGCCCAGCCTCGGTCACTGGAGGCGTAGAAACATTTGTCGTATAGGCCTGAAGAGAGAGTAGAAAAGAAGTCAGTTAATATGTGCCCTCCTTTATTTCCAAAAATCGAATGTGGACATTAAAAGAGATAATATTAGCATCAATTAAAAAAACAATAGGACTACGGTCACATGTGAGGTAGCTGACACCTAACTCTACACTAACTCTTTTAATATAGTTATTTTGTGATATTAACATGTCCCATGTATAAGATCCTTAATGCTCATTTGATTTCAGTTTATAGTACCTGTGAAAAGCTTGGACCCATTTTCTCATTCAATTCAATGAGAAAGTGTGTCCAAATGTTTGACTAGTACTGTGTGTTGGTACAATTATAATTCAAAGTATGCATTTTGAACACTAAATAGTCCAAAACCATTCAGAAGCGTGTTATTTTCAGAGGGACTGGAAAGATAGTTGTGTTTAGGGAGCAGATGTATTCATATGAGATAAAGTATGATTTCCAAGTGTATGTTGTCCTGGAAATTAGGTGGAAGTGTATGTTTGACTAAGGGAGACCCCATGGAAATCTCTCTGTGTAAGCATCTCATGAACACTGAGCGCATTTAAACTTGTTCGTGTAAATGCCCCCTGTCCATAGGGGTAGCCAGAAAAAGGCTAGTTTTCAGCTCAAGCCTTGTTTTTGTAGAGGCACTAAAACACCTTTTCCTATTTCACTTGGACCGTGTATGTCAGCTTCAGCATGGTAATGTGTTTTCACTTCTTAGGGGATCTCAGAATGTTAATTGTTTGTTTGTTTAGCGCCCGTTGAGGTATGCGCGTGCAGGCTCGCAAGTTCATGTTTGCGTGTGTTTTTTAATACATGTTCGACTATGTGACTATGTCCACATATCCATAGGTTCCAGTCAATGTGTGCAAAGATTCCAAAGCACCTTGATCTGCCTCACAAGGTCCATCTCATCATGTGAAGGTGTGTGTGTGTGTGTGTGTGGGTGCATCTGAATGCATCTGAATCCACTTCTCATTTCTTCCCCATTCGCTTTAGTATGGTCGCAAGTTATGAACTGATCATCATAGTGCGTAAAGAGTACGTCTTTGCCCCAATGCACTGGTCCACTGAAATGTCTTCGTTCCCCATCGATCAGGTCACCTGAGCCTGCAATAAGTGTCTGGCAAATGGTGATTGCACAGACATCTTGCTAACTTTGACCCTCTTCTAATTGGATGCACATTCCATTATGCATTCATTAAACATGGTATTCCAATGGACCAATATTCAAAGAATGAGGGTTGGGTTCAGCGTCAAGGTCAGTCCTTTGGCAGATGACGTTTTCAGCTTTTCCACTACACTGGAAAGAAAAAGCGTTCCATCTGTCAGCTAGTGCACTCAAGGCTAAAAGGTGTGCTAAAATGCTCGTAGGGCTGCTAGTGTAAACAGCTGTCATAATTCTGCCATGCTCAATTAATCTAAGACACTACACTTTTCCAGACCCTGCACTGTGACTATTCTGGCTCACACAAACATACATGTGCACACACACCACATATATATCCACACACTCATGCGGACATGCATATATACATGCTCATGAAAAAATACACAAACTCTCATGTGCACGGACAAATTACCAAGTACACATTTGTATCTTCTCAGAAACACACTGCACACGCTACGGCGGAGAGCTGTTCTTGTCGGTTTCAACGGCAACCTTCCTCGGACTTGCCATTTGTCTTCTTCCAAGAAAAACAAACTCAGGGAAAAACTAAAAAGATTGAAAGAAAAATGTCACAAGGACTTGATAAAAACCAGAGAGGAAGGGAACAATGAAGACTTGGTTTACATGTTAAGGAGTTCTAGCTTTGAAAGGTTGAAGTAAGTTACTTTTCCAAGATCATACTAGAGTGACCTCCACAGCCATTTCTCTGAGGAAACAGTGGAATTTCTATTGATAGTCTAAAAACAAACTTAACAAACAAAACAAAGATATCAATTTTACACTTGACTTCCAATATTTGACTCATCTGTCAAGTTTCACACTGAATGAGTTCAACTAAATGCTGGATTTCATGAGTCATAAATGACCTACAAATAGTTTCACTTAATATGTTTGTAAAAATGTTGCCAATCAGGTGAAGTTATATCATGGATATCATCAGTATCCAAGAAAAAAGTCCCAGCAGAGCTGAAATTGTTATATTGTTTTATTTGTGGATGTATTTGCACACTGCGCCAAAATATATCTGTTATCACAGCAATTATCTGCTTAGGTCTGCATGTAATTGTCACAAGAAGGTCATGGAAGAGAGCCTCCATCCCTCTGGTGATTTATTTTCCACTTCTCGTGATGCGGGACGACCCAACATGACCCGGATACAAGGGCTTATAGGGCAAAACAAAGTTTGCTTGAAATTTGTGTGTGTGTGTGTGGGGGGGGCGGTGCATACATAGAAAGCTGTGTGTCTTCATTTTATACATTGAACATGAGAAGAACAGACAAATCTCTTAAGCTAGTAAAGCCGATGAGTTAATGATATAATAAACATATACTAATGCGGCGGCTGCAGATTGAAATATATACTGTTTATCTGTTTTATTTTCTCATTAATTTATTACAATTCTGTAATTCATCAGCTTTTATTTTCCATTGTAACTAAATGCACATATTTCACAGCTATAAGAATCGTGTGCATGACACAACTCAGGACAAGAGAAAGCCTGATTTTGTAAGATCATCAATGCGGGACAGGGAGGGAGAGAGAACGAGAGAGAGAGAGAGAGAGAGAGAGAGAGAGAGAGAGAGAGAGAGAGGGGCCGTGATCAAAACAACACAGTAAAAAAAACAGCTGCTGCAAACAACACTTCTCAGGGATCAAAACAAGCGGATGGAGCATTTTGAGGGGAATTGGGATTTTTGAGACCTGAATTGGATTTAAAAGATTAGGCTTTATTGAATTTGTTTGATCATCATGTGTTCTCCTGAGGCCCCTCTATAGTAAATTGATTGGAATATGATGGGAGCAAATCCTAAAAAATTAGAGGAGGGGGGGGGGGGGGGGGGTGCCACAACAACACCTTTGGAAAATAATGTGATCCAATAGCGCATGTGTAAAGCCTATAATGTTAATTTTGTGGTACAAATGGGTCCCTGAGGTATTTATTCAATTCGTCTGGGGTCCAAAGTAGTGTTGTTTTCTCGCTGAATTGCATAATTCCATACAGATGTTCCTGTTATTGTGTCTGTCCTGTAAATCTAGGAGTCACCCGGGTCACAACAGACGCTCTTACCCCTAGACCCCAGTTTGAGACTCTGACAAGGATTGGTTTTGCAGAGCCTGCCAATTGGCCAGCACCCCCTAACAGTGTGCTGTATTTCAAATACACACACACACACACACACACACACACACACACACACACACACACACACAGTGAGGGGGAAGGGGTGACGGATAGATAGAAAATAAAAGGACTGTAAATGTATTAATTTAAGTTGTTTGGGTAGAAAGGTTCCGAAAGGCATATTGGAGGCTGAGGGGGACTGAGTTCAATTCAGTTCATAGGCAGCCATCTGCACAACTATGCTATAGAGGGCAATGAGTTGTGTGTACAACGCTCCCTATCGGCAAGGAAAAGCACTAAAAAAACTGTAATGCACAAAAACGCTATTGGTGGTAGCATATGATGCAGACCAGTTTTAACACCTTTCCGGTGCTCCTTTACGCATGGATGCAGGAGAAAAATGAGTGCGCACAAATGATAACTACAAAGTGCCCAGCTTGCTTGTGCAGGGAGGGATCCACTCAAGTGTGCGTGTCCTCCTCTGCGCAGTCAAGAGACATGGACGTAGCACCACTGATTGCGCTCTTTTATGCGCGCCGAATAACGCATGCTTTTGCACAATAGTCTGCGATTTTTTTTTTTCCGACACAGTTTGCTATCAGAAACACCCTGTGACCATGGAAGCGCACGCACGAAACACATTTTCGAACACGGGGGAGAGGACGGGGGCGGGGGGGAGGGAAAGAGAGGGGGGAGGGGGGGGGCAGCCAGGGTCTCTCAGTCCTGCCCGGAAGCCAATCCAAAAGGTGTCGATTTTTGGGGGGGATACTGAAGCCTGCGGCTTTGAGCTGACCGCTTGGAGCGCCCACCTTCTCCGCCGGACCTCTCGGGCTTTCTGCCTGACGTGCTCGCTCACGGAAGTTTAAGCCATTACATCATAGTTTTAAAATAGCCACGTCGGTTTAATGAAATTACATTTTACGCACAGTGACATCAGCTGCCGGTCAAATGATGCAGTAGCCTATAGCTGCCGGCCGTTCCCCTCACTTGTCTGACCACAACCCAGGCATCTCATCATCCCAAACTAGAAACATTACGGAAAATTCGTTCGGAGGATGAAATTGTTGTTGCACCAATTTCTCTGCGTAGTCTGGCAAACTTAAAACGTTGCTCTGAAATGTGCGTGATTCAATGCGTGCACTACCCAAACGATCCGCTGTACTTTTGAGAGCATTACATCATTGTCTAGTCTGATGGATGAACTCGTTTTCAACTCACTGAAACTGCATGTTGATTTTGTTTTAGATGACATGACAATGGAATAAAATACTGCGGATCCGCATGCTTAGTTCCACATATTACGTGTTAGTGGCCGGTTTTGAAGTTACACTTGTAAAAGGAGTTGCGTTGACAATATGATGGAGAATGTGGAGACTGTCCTACCTGCTATCACTGTGGGTGAGCGTTGACCTCCCTCCGGTTTGATCCACATCTCAAGAGTGAAATTTCCTCTGGGTATCTCCACGCCGGGTTTCAACCGCAGCTGATCTCCCCTGCCGGTAAAATAGACAGCTTTCCCCCGGTCTGGAGAGTTTTCCTCCGCAAGAGAGGAGCGCCGACGCTGGCGGAGCACCCGCCGCTCCAAGCCGGGCAAAGAGCGTTTGCCCCGGGGCAGGCGTGTGGCACAAGCCCCTGGGATGGTGGCTTTTGCCTCCCTAATGCGCACCAACTCCCTCTTGGATCTCCCCTTTCTCCGGACTGTCCCGCACTCTGATCCAAAACACAACAGGAGAATCACCAGGCAAGACACCCAGGGAGATGTCCAAAGTTTCATTTTTCGGGAGAGGTAATGGCAAAAAAAATATTTAAAATAAGAGGAAAAAAAAAAAAAAGAAAGAACGGAATTACTAGAAAAAATATATATGTCCACAATGTTCTCCTCTTTGGAATCCTCTCGAGTTTCTCCTTCTCTGTTACAGCTGTAGAATGTCAAACCGTAGAAACTGTCTAAATAAACCCATAAAGCTATGCTGTTTTCCCCTCTTTATAATGCTAAGCCACGACCCCCTCTCTTAAGCAAAACTACTCTGGAGACATTCAGGGGACACAGGAATATTTGATTCATGTATGTGTTCCACGGTGCCTTTTCAATGGGTCCCATTTAGCCAAAGGGATGACTAATAAGTGATCAATCAAGAGGGGGGTCCGGCCGATGCCCCCCTCATCCCCTTTGGACGGTAGGAGTTACTCGCAGAAATCCACAGTTGTCCGCCAAGCTCTTGTCACACCTTTTGTTGATTCCTTATCCTACCCGTAAAACAGCATGAGAAATGGCACACATTACATTCCAAACAAAAGTGTCAACAAAACGACCTCTCATATTTATTACAGAAAACAAGAGGTGAATTGTCAATTCAAAAAAAAAAAAAAAGAAAGAAAAAACGGAATCCAAACTTCCCCTTGCCTGTATGCGTGTACAAAAGTTGAGATGCACTATAATATCTGGTAAGGCGAATGAGAGGACGAGGGACAGAGAGCCGCAGAAGTAAGCACCGCGGTCCTCATTGATTGCCTGCAGCAGAAACACTTGGAGGACTAAGAGCCAGGCGTCCGCTTTAGAGGCAGTTTCTCTTTTTAACAACAACTCGTGTTTCAAATGTTCCGGGGCTGTGCTTTTTTTTTTTTTTTTTTCAAAGTGGGAAGTCACACAGGTAGGCAACTCTCAGTGACGGCAATTCTCCCTTTGGCACTCGGTGATGGTGTTTACGGAGTTTCCAAGGTGTACATGTATCCCTCTAGTGGTTACAATTTAAACAAACCAATGCAAAGTCCTCGTTGCAGCACCAGAATCAGGCAGTTTTAGAACATTCATTATTTCAGAGCCCAACTAAAACATGAAATAATTATGATATTATTATTAATATTATATAATATTCAAATGTAATTGTAGACCTATTCGACGGAGATTTAAATGCAAACTTTGGGAATGCAAATATGTGGTGCAAAAAACTTCTTTTAGGTTACTCAAGGGCTCCTTTTAAATTTGGCAAAGTAGGACATAAACTGTAAAGGTCGACCTAACTGCCCCGTCAAAGTCATGTTTCCCATTAATGTTCTTTCAAAATAAAATAAGCGTTAGATCAAAGTAATGGGGGAACATTGAGGAAGCCGTAGCAGTCATTGTCCTTAAACGTCATTTAATGGATCAGATGCCCTTTCTTCTTTCAATTTGAAAAGCTAGCGTTTGAGGTTTTAAACCCCAAAATGGCAACAAGTACACTTGTGTATTTTCTTCATGTGCATGTTTTGTTTTTTTCAATCTGGCCTACCCATTTAACGTCAGTTTAAAGTTTATAGCAAATCGCAATTGCCAAACCAGGAATTCCTTTTCCAAAAGGATTTGAAAAAAAGGAAAAAAAGTGAGGGATTTGTACGTTTCAGGTTGACTCACACACCCTAATGTTTACTGACATGTCAGGAGACGGATGCCTTTTCAAAACCACACTCTCCACTAAAGTTCATAAACCTTTGAGATTTGTGACAAAGCCTTCGAAGTCACCGCTGCAGAGTGAAATGAAAACAATCCTTTGGTCAATGTTACTGTTACTCTGAGGGTATTTTGACGCAGATGCGGAACGTGACTTTACCATTTAATGGTTTTCCATAGAGACAGTCGGCTGGAATGTCGATGTTTCCTCTCTGTTCTCCCACAGTTGTTTGTTGTAAATGTGTGTTTAGACAGCAAAAACTTGCCACCTACCATAAAGGCAAGAGAGAACAAACATTAAATATTTGCTCTCCTTCTCATACGGTGCTGCGACTCTGGGCCATATATTTCCCTTTGTGTCTTGAGGGGGGGAGGGGGGGGGGTCACATATTGAGAGGTGTTTGACCTTGGAAGTTGCTGGGGGTAAAGTTTCACATGGACCACACATTGAAATCGTGTCAAAGGAGACAGTGGACAACCTGACATGTGAAAGGTTGGACTGTGTGTCCACCTTTCACATGTCAGGTTGTTAAACCATTCTCCCATTAGTCGTGGTTGTGTGGCAACACTTCCATCTGTTTGAGTGAGTTTCTGTTTGGGTCCTTGTCTCAAAGACTCCTGATTCTCACGAGATTGCTTGTTTTTGAGGCACACTCTGTGGTAGTACGCTTGTTTTTTCTCGACATACCCAATTTGCCCTTTTCTTTTCAGTCGGCAAAATAGCACCGTGTCGTCCACCTGAATATGATCGAATCGTGTAATGCATTGCGAGGGAACTTAGCTCTGAAGGGAAATGAAAATGTGAACCCGCTGAGGCACCAGAGTATTGTGACAGAAGAGGAGAGACAGCTCTGCAGACCTGTAATTATATTCTTCATTTCTTCACCTAGGATCAGACTGTCACTCTGGCAGATGGGTGACAAAGATAGAACAGATGACCTAACGCTTACACTCAGCATCCTTTCAGGTTGGTACACTATGTACAGACTGACAGGGGGGGGATTGAGGGGGAGCCCTGAAATATCCTCAACTAAAGCCACCAGAAAACCCCTCAGGCTGAGACCGATCAACATGCACAAAGTTCAAACTGCGTGCCGTTCTGGCTCTTTAGTGTCACAATAGCTTTCCTTTTTAAAATGGGTTGATTTCCAGTTATTCCTGGATCTGATAGTCCAGGAAGACCACATCCAATCCTAGCCTATACTGACCCCGCGACAGTGCAGGTCACGGAGCCCCTGTGCAATTCTGCAAATCCTGCTGCAAGTCCATAAAGCATAAAGCTGTGCATTCCTCACAGAGAGCCATGATGTTGAGATCAGTCAGAGGTCAACAGTGGATAAAACACCGTCGGAGAAGCACAAACCTTTGACCTTTTCAAATCAGGAAAAGAAGAGGTAGAAAAGACACATGCTGCAGCAGCAGAAACTATGACTGAAAGTCATTTATACTTTATTATCATTATATTATCATTTCGATTTTTTTATTTATTTGAACCAAGTTGACATTGAAAGAGACTTTTACTTGAGTCACATTATCTTACCTTGTCATGCAACCGTCTGTCAAAACCCAAACCAGTATCTGAGGATGCATGAACGCCATTTGTTATGGACTGGTCTTTAACCATGTTAATATACATATTTGCTTTGACTTGTAACAGGAAGAGACACTGTCAGGATTATCCACTTTCGCTGTCTGAATGCATTAACCGTTTTTGGCTTTTTTCTCCCACTTTTGGCCCAGGGAGATTACATCCGTGTGTTTCCAAGAGTAACAGCTTGTGCAAGCAGGAGAATATGTGTACAACCCGCGAAGACAGAGCTCAGTAACTTCACATTTAAAATGCAGGAGAAAAAGGGAGCATTTTTCAAGACAATAAACAACTTTGTTTAGTTGCATGTAAGCACCCTCAAACTGTATCTGTCGCTGCAATGTGATGCTGCCGTTGCTCTGCCTATCGCTTTTGGTTCGGAAAAAGTGGTTTGAGTGTTGTACAATAATCCCACCAAGGCAGAGTGGCTGTGGAGCAGTGCAAGTCAAATAGGAAAAAAACACGGTCCCCTAATCCATTAATGCATCCAGCTTAATCTCTGACTGTTCTAAAGTGCAAACCTAAATGCTTTTGCATCTGTGTGTCTGTATGATCTGGAGACTAAAATAATGCGGTATCAACAATGCACACATTAAATAATTCTATCTGCAGTAACTGTGGTGTCTTAATGAGAAATGAAAAAGGGGAATAAAACCAAAGCTATAGAGACAGTAGGATTTCATAATAATGACAAGGAGCTTGTAAAATGTGGCTCTCTCTAAATGTAATGCCGTTACAGAGTACCCATTAAAGCTCTTAAGAGTATAATCCTTTGCTACCTACAAACTCATACCAGGTCGAATTTCTTGTGACTCCATAAAAACTGTCACGCAGGCAGCTTCTGGTAAGAAAAAAAAGAAAGAAAAAGTAACCACTACCCAGTAAGAGATGTGCTCACTGCGATGGAGGTATTGTTTACAGAAAATATAGTATATACATTCACTTAAATCGGGTTAAATCTTTTCTAATGCTTTTGACAGCTGTCATTAAATGCACTTTAAATGGCGGCCAGAGGCCCAACGTATATACATGCACATGCGTATATACATGCACATATATATATATATATATATATATATATATATATATATATATATGTGAACATCAAAAAAAGAATGCCATTGTGTTTGCCACAGTTTGATATTGAAAACATACTGTTATCTGGGTGTTGGTAGAATGGTGCATGCTATAGCAGTCACAGCACTGTGGATGGTATAAGACATGAAAACCACAAAACCGTCCATCTTTGTTGAAAAAATATGAGACGATAGTTTGAATTTTCATTTAGTAACAGATCTTCTCCGTGTAGCCAAAGCGTTGAAAATAGTGATGGAATAAAACGTCGGAGATTTGCAAAGAATCATATCAATCTATGGTTTATCTAGTAATGCATCTCAGCTTTGGAACGTAAACTTCCATACCTTTAAACTTTGACAAGTTATACAATCTTGGTTTTCATCAACCCATCCTTTTGTCTTTAGTTTTGAATTATTACTTGATATTGAACTGCAAAATAGCATTTTTTGGCGTCCAAATTTTCTTGCGATATTCAACATTTTCTTAAATTCTTACTGCCTTTTCATATCAGTATATATATGTGCAAATCAGTACATGAAGCCTTTCCAGTTATGGACCCTAGCAGGATTCACCAAGTCAGACACACTAGTTTATAGACAGTCCAGTGGAAGCATAGCTAACAATAAACTTTCCTGAGTTTTGCTATTGCATGACAATATGTTTGCACTGTTGTTCAGTGCACAGATCAATTATTAAAATGTATCAATTAAACAGTGTAAAAAGAATATAACATACAAGTCCTTGGGAAATACAGAACCACACTGAACATTGCATCATTGTCAGCATAAGTAAATGCGCATGAGGAGTATGTTCCTCATCATCTTCACATCCTGGATTTTAGCCGCCGTTATGAGCTGTGTGGTAAACAATAACCCATTATGGGTCCCTAACAGCAACCATGGCTTGCCATTGGTTTAACGCTGCTGCTTGTGGGGAAGAGTTATATGTGCAGGGGTGCAGAGTACGGCATTGTCAGCACACCACCGCTTGCCACCACTACTGCCCCTCCGTCTAGACGTTAGAGCACGTCCATATGGAGATGGTTAAAAAGCTCATTAGCCGGCCTACTTGAAATACAGTTGCAGTGACGCTTGTCCATAAAAAACACAAAGTAGAGTGGTTTCTGCAGCGGTATTAACCAGGTTGAGGCATCGAGCCCCCAGGACTGACAATAATTTGGCGCAGGCCTTCAGTTCGCCAAATTATGGCTAATACGGCAAGCTTTCCAAGAAAGAAAAAATGACTTCTTGGAGTGAGCATTCGGATCCATTTGGGTGAGGGAGCATGGAAACATGTCTCGTAAGGTGAACGGGACATGGCCCATTGGAAGAAAAATGGCTGGGACTTATTAAAACATTTAGGGTGAATAAAAGATTGCTGTAGGGCGACTAAAGATTTGAGGGAGAGAGTGAAAAGACCAGTTTGTCACTAGTGAGTGGTCATTATTAAATGCACAAATTGAACTCAGTC